ATGTAAAAAGGCCAATATGTGTTGGGTGTATTCCAGAATGCAATACTGGGTTAAGATTTAAAAATCAATGCAATTCACCACATTAACAGACTGAGGGGAAAACACCTTTCAATTCATTTCAATAGATGATGTCGATCAAATTCATCATAAAGACTTTTAACAAATGAGGACTAGAAAGGAATTTTCATAAGCTAAAAATTAATACCCATTCCCAAAAGAACCTTCAGCAAGTATGAGACTTTATGGTGAAATACTGGAAGCTTTCCCTCTGTAACTGGGACTAAAACATGTTGACTTTGTTGCCTAGGGCTGCTATAACTAACTACCACAAACTGACAGCTCAAAAGAGAAATATTTATTGTCTCACAATTCCAGAGGCTACAAGTCTGAAATCAAGGCATTGGCCTGGCCGTGTTCTCTCTGAAGGCCTTGGGGGAGGATCCTTCCTTGCCTCTTCCTAGCTTTTGGTGGTTGCCAAAATCCTTGGAATCCCTCGGCTTATAAATGCATCATTCCAATTTCTGCCTCGGTCTTCACATGGTGTTCTTCTCTGTGTATGTCTTTGCGTCTCACCTTTTTAAAAGAACACTAGTCACACTGGAGTAGGGCACCTATCCTATTCCAATATGACTTCATCTTAACTCTACATTAACAAAGACCCTATTTCCAACTACACTCGCATTTACAGATTCTGGGGCTTAGGGCTGCAACTTATCTTTCAGGAGAACACTGTTTAACCCACAAAACAAAGACTCCCCCTACTGTTACTTCCTTTTGTACTGATGGTCCTGGCCAATGCAATAAGACAAGAAAAAGAAAGATGTAAAGATTAGAAAGGAATAAGTAAAACACATTATCTATGGACGATGTAGTTGTCTCTGTAGAAATTCCTGAATAATTCACAGATAAATTATTACAATTAGTAAGTTTAACAAAGTTGATTTATTCAAAATTTATATGCAAAGTTAATTTTGCTACAACAGCAACAAACAGGAAAATAAATGTTAAAAGGGTATAATTTATAATAGCGCACACACACACACACAAACCCAAACACATTTTAGTCAATCTAACAAAAAACATAGAAGACCTTTGGGTAGAGAACTATAAAATCTTACTGAGAGGGGCGACTGCATGGCTCAGATGGTTAAGCATCCGACTTCGGCTCAGGTCATGATCTTGCTGTTCGTGAGTTTGAGCCCTGCGTCGGGCTCTGTGGTGACAGCTCAGAGCCTGGATCCTGCTTCGGATTCTGTGTCTCCCTCTCTCTCTGCCCTTCCCTTATTCATCCTCTGTCTCTCTGTGTCTCTCAGAAATGAATAAATGTTAAGAAAAATTAAAAAAAATCTTATTGAGATAAATTAAAGAAGACCTAAATAAATGGAGGAATATGCCATGTTCATGAACTGGAATATTACAAATATGGCAAGTCTTTCCAAAAGGATCTATAGATACAAGGCAACCCTAACCAAAATCTCAGTTTATGGAAATGACAAAGTGATTCTCAAGATTATACGGACATGGAAAGGGTCAAGAACAGCCAAGAATCTGTCGTACAAGGTGACAGCATTTGCATTACTAAATATGAAGACTTATTATAAAGCTATTTTCATTAAGACAATGTGATACTGGCGCGAAGATAGACAAAGATGTCAGGTGGACAGAAGAGAGGGCCTACAAGCAGATCCAGGCATGGAGAGACACTTGTTCCATGACAGAAGTAGCATTACAGAGCAGTTAGTAAAGGAGACTTTCCAAAAAATTGTGCTGGGATAAGTGGATATTCCTAGGGTGGGAAAATGGAATTTCATCCCTACCTTGTGCTATGCACCAAAATAGCTATGGGCAAAAACATAGATGCATTTCACCAGCATAAATTTGAGCAAAAGAATACATGCTATGAGATTCCAACTAAACGAAGTTAAAAAACTAAACAAAACCATAACGTAAGAAGTCGGGATTGTGGTTCCCATTTGGGGGAAAGAAAGTGTTAGTAACTGGGAGCAGGTACAGGGGAGTTTTCAAGGAACTGTTGACTATTCCATCTCTTTGGGGGCAGACAGTTCTAGTGGTGTCTTTGTTGTGATAATTCATTGATTTTCATTCTGTGCACTTTTATTTGTATTAACCTTCTCAATACAGTGATTTTTTTTTTTTTTTTTTTTTTTTTTTAAGCAGGCTCCATGCCAAGCACGGAGCCCAACACCAAGCTTGAACTCACCACTCTGAGATCAAGACCCTGAGATCAAGAGTCAGAAGCTTAACTGACTGAGCCACCCAAATGCCGCACAATAAGGTGATTTTTAAAACGTAGGTAGACAGATTCATCCACTGAACAAATATTTACTGAGAAATCACTATACGCCAGACATTGTATTAGGTCTGTGTCATCAACAGGAGTAAAAGCAGGTATGCTCCCTGCTCTGGTAATGCTTACCTTCTGATAACAGAGTCAGACAAAAACGATTACAGTCATGAGTGAGATAAACAAATACAAGCATTCCGTGTGATAAGTGCTCTGATACGCTTAGATTGCTACAATTTATATACAAGAAGGGTGACTTTATTGGGGGCGAGAGGTTATGAGGAAAGCCACTAGGTCTTTCACTGGACTCAACTATTAAAGGAATTCAGAAGTGTTCTACCTGCCCCTCTAAAGTAGAAGTCACTCCTTTTATACATAAGAAATGGTCCCAGTTTAATTTTAGATCTACACTTACACAGAGGAATCCTATCTGCTTACTCAAGGAAAATCTTGGTTTGAAAGTCATGGCACCAGCCACTCGGAAAACCAAGACAGGGGCACCTGGCTGGCTCAGTTGGTTAAGCGGCATCTCCTGGTTCCTGAGTTGGAGCCCCACGTGCTGACAGCTCTGAGCCTGGAACCTGCTTTGGATTCTGTGTCTCCTTCTCCCTCTGCCCCTCCCCAGCTCACGCTGGCGTGCTCTGTCTCTCAAAAATAAACATTAAAAAAAAAAAAGAGAGAGGAAAAAAACCCCAAGAGAATACTATTCTTAATTTGCAGTTAATTTTGGAGCTATTACTCTAAAACTT